ATTTGCTCGCTCTACGATTTCAGATCATTTTTTTTTTCCGCTCCATCTAATATGAAGCGATATATGGACTCGATGTTGTTTTTAAGCGTACAGCAATGTGCATCACACAGTTTTCCTGCTCAGAATTCAGCGAACTGGGCATGTTTTCAAATCCTGGACGAAACGGTTCATTTAGTAACCGGAAATTCTTTGCGTACTGGATTCGTTCGTACTGCCCATCTTCAATGTGAACCACTTCTACAATAAGTGATAAATTCAAAAATTGGTGCAGTAACAAAATCTCTCTCATCGCTCACTTCCCGAGCTTGCGCATCGTCTTGTGCTTGTTCCATGGTATCCTTAAACACAGCATTTGAGGAGTGGTGAGACCTCTCCCCATTTTGTGCAATTTCATCGCGTACTTCTTCCTAATCAACACTGATAATTTTTTCTTCATTTCTCCAAGGATAACAAAGTACCAATAATTCTTCATAAAATTGTTCAGAGTCGGTGTGATTGTCATGCGTCTGATACTCGATGATTTTTGGCTTAAGGCGTATTCTGACATATTTGCACCATTTATCAGTTTTGTGTAGTGTTCGTCTGCGGTGGTATCTCCTAGTTCGTCACTGCTACTTATATCTTTATCAGCTACTGCAGCACTCCGCAAACTTCTCGTGATTTATTTATAGCAGTTGTAACACGCAATGAAATCGGCAACTGAGATGCCTTCCAGTGTAGCCGGTAGTTTTGCGTAATATCTAAGACACTGTGTGCTAAGCAATCACCCGAAGCTGCGTGTAATGTGTGAATCTCCTTCCATGGGTTTACAGCTCTTTAACGCTCATCTGCAGCGACGTTTGTGTGACGAATAACTTTTCAAAACAGCACGATATTGCAATTTGAAGAACTGGCTTCTTAGCTTAAAGTTCAGTGGCATTACAGTGAGTAGTACTGATGTACTGCACTGCTCGCAAATTACTGCTCCCTCGCCGCAACTCCTTTACTTTATCTTCAATCATATTGCCTATTCCTGTATCCGATTTACTGTATAATTAGTAATATAGAAGGGCGCTCGAAGCACCTTCCATAACAATACAGGTCCCAAGCGATATGAAGATTGTGTGACCGTAGGATATAGAATCCGCCAGGTAATCTAT